AAGAATTCTTTAAGGAAATAAATAATTCTAAATCTGATAATCTTTTAGTCTATCCAAAGCAATCTGAATTTTACCAACTGATTCTCCCTTTTGAATTATTAGCATAAAAATAACTGATTCTTACATGGTGCTTACTCTGTGCCAGGTGCTGTTTTTTGTTGTATTATTTTAATACGTATTAAGTTCTTAGATTCTTACAGCAGCTCTGTGGGGTGGGCAGCATTTTGATTCTCACTTTACAAAAGAAGAAACAAAGTCACAGAAAGAGTCAGTACTGCCTTAAGGCTTCTTGGCTTCTAGGAGGTAATCAGGGGTTGAAATCAGATAGTCTAGGTCCGGGGGTGAGATGGAAAGCTACTACAAACACTTTCACCAGAGTAAAAGGGAGAATGTAAAGACACACAAAATAACACCTTGAGACCATAACGCTAAGTGAAATAAATCGGACATGCAAGCTTAAATATTGCATGGTTTCTCTTGTATGTGAAACCCCATTTGTAAATACAGTGTAAAATAAAACATCAATAACAGGAAGCAGTGAGGTGGATCTTTCTCAAATGGGAAGGGGACCAAGAACGATGGAAGGAGGGGAATAAGATGTAAAAAGAATTAAGCTGTGTTATGGTTGTGTACCAACTCCACACAAGGAATCCAAGCACTAGGTACTGCAAATGCACTACTAAAGAAAAACCCTCAGATTTTTCCTTTGCTGTAGCTGACGGTGCCTCATATTGGAGTGACAGGAACTAATCCACAGTCTTCACCCAGAACCAAGGCTCTATGGCTCTGAAATCTAGTTCTCTGTCCCTTTGCTCTTATCATTCCCTTCCTGAACCAGCTGTCTGTTCCCTGTGTGTCCTGGTGTCTGTGGGCTGAGCAAGTCAGAGATGGTGCTGGGGACCGCGGCACGTGTTCACACCTAAGAAATATCACCTTAAAACAGAGCCTGCTGTAAGCATTTTTGGAGCTTGGATCAAATCACTTTCTTTTCAGATCTGTTACAGGAACCTGAACATGGACTTGGATTAAACAGTTTGTCATTTTCTAGCACTCAGCATGTGATTGTCAAATTTCTATTCAAAGGTGACATTTTATGAAACACCACATGTTTTGGGAGCCACAGAATATAAATTGAGGCTAGGAGCTGTGGGAAGCTGGTGTGGGATTGGAACCCAGAAACTCCCACTTTTTCCTGGCCACTCCTGAGACCTTGATGGTCTGCTGTGCTGCTCACAGGACAATTCAGGGAGGACAAGTACCCAGGTGTGGGAAAGGATCTTAACGTGTTTCTTTTGGGACATTAAACTTGTTCATTCTGCTTCATGGCTGTTCCAAGAAAAGTAGTCTCCCTACACTTCTCAATGAAAAAATAAAGGTGGGCCAGCCAAAGAGGTCTTTGTCTTTCCCATCCAGAGGCATTGACCTCCCAGCTTTCATCTGTGCATTACTAAATTTGTTTCTATTTTTATTTCATCCTTCAACATACCCTTCATTCAAGCATTTGGGTCCCCGGTACACATGTTCTTTGGTGTCTGACTAAAATCGAATGTGAAAACAGCCATGGATCCATAGGAATAATACAATAGTCCTCCCAGGAAAGTTTGATTGGCCAATCCAACTAGATGAGAGTGTTGCAAAATAACGATAACTGGTTTAATGGGGGAAAAAGGCTAGATGAACTAGTCAGGTTACAAAATAAATCTTTGTCATTGATTTGCTTTGTGCTTCCAAAACCCACTTTAAATGACAAAACCCCCAGTGTTCCATGTTATTACTATTTGTTTTTATTTTAATAGCTCATATTTATATTCATTATTAAAATTTCACATCATAGAGTCATAGTGATTGCTTCTGACGCTAAAATCTCCAACTCTGAAACCTTATAAAAATATTAGTACCACCTAGGCCAATCATCTTGTTTTGTGTATGCAGAAGCCGAGACTAGACTGGGTTATAGGACTTCTGTCAAGGTCCTGTAGTGAGGGAGATGGCAGGAGATGATGCCTCTTGGAGATTAAGAGACCAGCCTCCTCCAACCAGAACTGGTGCTGGGACAGACACCTAGCAAAGCAGGAGCTGTTCAGCACTGAAATTTTCCCTTCTCTAATCCCTGTCCTAGGCTACTTTGTTAAAATATGAGGCACTGTATCGATGACCCCGGAAGCAGAAGGTAAGGTGGGCTGGTGGCTGCCTGCGGATGCTCTCTGCTTCCCCCTAGTTTTCAGCACTAACCGGCAGGTCATTGAGCCTTTGGGATATCTTCCTATGTCTCCTTCAAGGACAGGAAATAGTTTGGGCACTTACAATGATAGTCCTTTATAAACTTGCTAACAAACAAAATAGAGTCTTTTATTTCTTGGTCATTTTTGTTACTTACAGTTCATTTTTCTCCCAAAGCAGTTTAGGGTCATTATGGCATCTGTAATGGCTTATATTTTGAAATTATCATATCCTTTGAAGAATATAGCTATAACAATGTACATATATTTACTTATATTTATGTATATGTTTCTAAACCTACTTGCTCCAAGTATATGAAAAACAGTGAGAAGTTGTGGGTTCCAAGGTTATTTACATTTTTAAATTTATTTATTTTATCTTAATTTAAATTTTCTAGTCATGTAATCTGCAGTTTAAAGTATCCTGCTCTTCTCTGCAAGCTTCAGACATGGTTTTTCAAGTGAAAATTTATTCTTTTTAATTATCTGACAAAATAATCACACCATGCTTAGTGAGAGTTTGATAAAACATTTCATGACACACTCAAGGCTTCCAGATAGGAATTCACGAAGAAGGCTACAGAATGAGCGATGAGTTTAAGGACTTTGGACTCCAATCTTGGTGCTTCTATGATTCTGCCGGCATCTATGTCATGTGATTAGGTATGCTGAATAGTTTAGACACAGAGTTGACCTCATCTGGTAAAATCACCCCCCTAACGATTTGGGAAGTTATGAAGTACATATTTCCTCAAATCTTGGTTCTGCCCAACATTGCGAAATATGTAATATTTGCCTTTGATTCCTCACTCCAGCTTTGTTCTCCTTTCGCAGAAAACTGTTACCAGCTGGGTCCACCGATCTGGTGTTTGACTTAAGGCTTTTGTTCTGCATCAGTGTTCCCCAATTCTGTTGTTTGTTTTTTCCTGCTCCTGCTTCCAACCATCAAATTCTGAAGGAGAAATAAGTAAGCCCATCTACCAGCACTATTAATGGGTTGGGCCACCCGAGAATATTTGTGTGTAGAGAATCCTTGGAGGTGGACAGCCTTAAGTTTTAGAACAGAATTTTCAATGGTGGAACTTTAAACACTGACAGAAGATAAACGCTGGGGGAGATTCTTTTCAACAGTCAAAGCAGTAAAACATATGGTAAACAAAGTGGAATGGAATGGTCTCTCAGTGAAAAGAAATCATACATCATAGAGAACTATGAGAAGGTATTTCTTCTCAAGGACAAATAGATTGGAAATTAGGGCTGTTCTTCAGGTGAAACTCGATGTCAGAGATCTATAGGATTGTAGAGGATTGCCATTACAGTAGTATTTGAGAGAAAATCATAACGAACAGAATAAGGACTTTTATACTAGTAGTATACTAGTCAAAGAAGAAAGTTAGTGTTTTACTAGTAATGCTGATTTTTTTCATTTTTATGAGCCAATGGATTCATTGAACTATTGATAAGAATGGATCCTAAAGAGTTAATGAAATTAATTTAGAATATATTTTCCCCTTAGTAATATATTCAAATTCTGTAGGATATGCTAAGAAAGTGGGTGTCTAACCTAGCAGTGAATATTTGTTTTAAACAAGCTACACAGTATGCAGCCCACAGTGCATAGTCTGGAAACCGCTGTACAATTTAACATTGGCCAATTAAGTTCAAATGTGCTTCTGGAGACTCTGAGATAAGAAGGCCTGACTCTAGTAGATGCAAAGTGTTAAGACAGCTTTAGTAACAACAGATCTTAAATGTGACATCGGTAAAGGAAGGAAGACAACATAAATATTTCATATCATAAATTTGGGTTTGAATTTTGGTTCATATCACTTTTAAGCAATTTGGGTTCATAGCACTTTTGTCCTTTTAGCGATTTTGGAAGAAACCTGTGATCTGAAATTACTTTTTAAGGTTATGTAGGGTCACCAAGGAATCAAGATGCCTCAGCATCCTAACCCAGGCAGAGAAAAACTCTTGAATCTGGAAAGGAAGTCAGGTCTCAGAATTAGACCTACAGTTGTTTATATTATATGGTGATTGCAACAGCTGATTTTAGTGATAAATAATAGCAGTCATATATGGGTGTAGATATTTGTTTATGTAAATATCTTGTCTCAGTTTATACAGTTTTTTTTAACATACCTTGTAATTGGATGTTAATTATCTTAACTTGATTTTTAATGTAAAAAGTTAAATTTTTTGAAGGAAATATTTAATTTATGTTCTTAGTTTGTTGACCAAGAAAAATATTAGAAGCCAAACACAATCATACCTAAGGCATTCCCCTTTGCCTGGTGGCAGCTGCCAAAGAAAAGCAATGAAAGGAAAATAGGATCTTTTAATTTGTGGCAAATATTGCAGGTTACTTACAAGTTGACTTTAATTTTCTTGTCTCCAATTGGTGAAAACAAATCTCTGTGAGTTTCTTTGCCCTGACTATGACCATACAACATGCCAAAGAAGGAATTTACAGAGCGTTCCATGTACAAATGTTTTTGTTTACTTACTTCTCTTCTCTTCACAGAATCCAAACCTAGGTTTCCACTTCATCAGCTGGCTTATTTACTCAGATATATAGTTTCAAAGTGGACTTTGAACTATACTTCTGAGAATATTTGGGTGTATCTTTTTATGAATCTCTGTATCAAAGATTGTCAGAAAGTCAGGGAAAATAACAAGAACAAAACACTCTAACACAGCCTAAGGAGTTGACAGAGACCAGGAAATATGAGGGGGAACTTTGCTGAGGCAGCTGAGAGAAGGGCATTGCTTATTGTTTTAATTTCAACAGGGTCAGTGAAAGAGATGTTGGTTGGATGCCTGATGAGGAAATGAAACCTATAATGAAAAAAACCATCATCAGAAATCTATCTACATTTTCCTAGAACTCATTTGAATTTTGTGTAATAGCTTTAACAACGTAGCATAAATATAAACATTATATTTGTATCACCCTATTGTATTAATCTGCCTGAGATTGTAATGCCTTACACCCACATGAGAAATAAGACCATTCCTCACCTTATCCTAGGCAAATGATTTATGGTCTTGGGTAGGAAGACAACATAGGAAGGCAGAGCTCTGCTCTTACTGGCTACATGCAGTGCATACAGGACTTCTTAACTTCAAAAGAAACTCCTGCCCACCTGGAGCACAACCTGAGAATCAACTTGAATTTAGGCCTGGCTTGGAGAGCATACTGAGATTGGTAAATTTTGAGTGATTGAAATCATAGAATATATTCTTGACTATAATGGAAAAAAACTTAGATCTCAATAATAGAAATAAATGGAGAAATCCATAAATGAGCGGAAATAAACATATTCCTAAGTGACCAGTGAGTCAAAGACTACCAAAACTGACTCAAAAAGAAATAGAAAATCTAAACAGATCTATAACAAGTGAAGAAATTGAATTAATAATTGAAAATAGGATCAGGGAAAGGGGAGAGGGGAGGGTGGGGGGAAGGGATTAAAATAATCAATAAATTATATATTTATAAATAATTTATATATTTATATATAATTTATATATGTAAATTTTTAAAGAAACTACCATACTATTTTTCCTAAGTAGCTGTGTCATTTTACATTCCCACCAACAGTTCTTCTACACCTTCATCAGCAAAACACTCTAAAACCAAATATACACTGGTACTCCAATTCCCCAAAATGACTTTAACTATCATACATCACAAACATATACTAATAAAAACTAATAATTGAAAACTTCCCAATAAAGAAAATCCTAAGACTACATGGCTTCATTGGTCACTTCCACCAAATATTTAAAGAGGAATTAATCCTAACCCTTTTCAAGTTTTCCTAAAAGTTATAAGAAAGAATAATTCCCAACTTATTCTATGACACCAGTATCACCTTGATATCAAAACCGGACAAAGATATTCTATTGAACAGTATCCCTCATGAAAATACATGCAAATATTCTAAACAAAATTTCAGTAATACCAATCCAATAGTTTGTAAAAGGGGTGTGTATCATGACCAAGTTGTTGAAATAACACTACATGTCTATTAAAATGGCTAAAATTAAAAGACCAACCATTATAAATATTGATGAGGATGTAGAACTGCTGGTGGGAAGGTAAAATAGTATGGCAGTTTCTTACAAAACTAACAACATATTTACTCTGTGATCTACCCATTTCTTTCTTAAGTATTTACAGAAGATAAATAAAAATCTATGTCCACATGAAAACTTGTACACAAATATTCATAGCAGATTTATTCATAGGAACCCAAAACTGAAAACAACCCAAATATCTATCAACAGATGAATGGATAAACCATGATATATCCATACAATGGAACAGTATTTGGTGAGCAAGTGAAAGAAATGAACTACTGATACATACAGCAATCTGGAAGAATATTAAGAGGATTATCCTGAGTGAAAGATAGTCACACAAAATGTTATAAACTATGTGATTCAATGTATGCATGATTCTAGAAAATTCAACTAATGTGTAGTTTAATAAGGCAAACCAGAAGTTTACTGGTATCAGGGAATTGTGTGCAATGTGGACTAAGAGGACTCCTATGGCGCTGCTCTGATCTGAACGTTTGTGTCCCCCTAAAAGTCCTATGTTGCACTCCTACCTCCAGGATTAGGAGATGGGGCCCTTGTGCAGGTGATTAAGTTGTGAAAGTTCTGTCCTTGTGAAAGGAATTAGGGTTCCTATAAAGTAGGTACAAGGGTCTTCATGTGCTCAATCTACTTTGTGAGGACACAGCAATAAGGTAAGAAAACCCCCCTGCACCCCCTTCTTCCTCTCCTCTACTGCTTCTAGTGTAGAAGCTCAAGGCAGAGTGTTCTCTGCCTCTAGTGCCTGTGTCCCTGAGCAGGTTACTGACCTGGTTTGCACCTTACTTCCTCATCTACTAATCATATCTTATTCACAGGAGTGTTCTGAGTGTAAAATGAGTTAATATTGAAGAAGCCCTTAAAGAATTCTACACATAGGAAGAACAATCCTGCTGCTCCCCTGCTTCAACTATGTGGGCTTCTTTAATTTTCCTCCCCAAAGATAGGCTTGCTCCTGCCTCAGTGCCTTTGCAAATGCTGCTGTCTCTGCCTATCCTGGATGACATATGTAACCCACATTTTCAAGCCTTATTTACTAGTATTTGGTGTGAATAAAAAATTCACAAATAAAAATCAAAAATGGGCCCCCAAATAATGAGCCCCCCCCAAAGCTCCCCCAAATTTCTTTGGGCCCCCTCAAAGAAATGAAGAGTGTTGACAGAACTCAGGAAAGAAATTTCATTTTGAGATAACTTTGTCTTTGTATTTGGTCAGTCAAATGAAATTTAACAAGGTTTGTTGAAGAAAAAGTGAAAAAGAAATAAGATGTGTGACTTTCCCCCTAGAAAATCATATAAAGACTCCTAAAGTATGAATTATAATGGATTATCACTGTCTAGTTTACAATTTATCTTATTAAACCATCTTACTGTTCCTCCTGGTGTATTTCTTTCTGAGCACTCCAAACCAGCTTGTCACCTCCCGAGGGTCAGAAAACCTTCTCGTCATTTACTTCTATTCCCTAATCAAGGCTGAGCTCAACTATCTGGCCTTCAGGCCACCCAGGAAGCAGCCAATCCTGACGCCCTGCACGGGTTCCCAGGCCAGGCCGAGATGCTCTCAGCAGCAGCAACCATGCCACGTGCTGGGCTGCCCCGCAGCTCTTTGCCCCTGGATCCCCTCCCCGTCTCTCAAATTGTGGGTCCTCCTTTGGACCTTCTTCTCTTCTGAAAATCGTGCTGCTTCTATTTCTACTTGGCATGCCAGAAGTTACAACCTTCATTCATCTCTTAAGATTTATCCAAAGCAGTTAAGCATCTACTATTTTTTCCAGACAGCCCTGTCATGTTTTTTTTCCAGAGAGATGTACACAATTATAAATGGAGACTTCCATATGGTAAATAAATATCATTTTTGCAGGGATGGGGGGAGAAGGAGGGAAGGGTACTTTCCATGGTTCTGGTAGGAGAGCCACGTGGGAGGGGTCTCATCTAGGCATTCTGGAAACTGTTTATAACTCCTGGTCCACTGTGCTCTTGCCCATGAATGTTCTGGCCCCAAGGCACGGTGAAGGCAGGCAGAGACTTTACTTATTAAACAGTAAGAAAAAAAGAGAGTGTGTAGCACTCCTAGCAAGACATCAGAGAAATGCCAATTCAAACAATGCTGAGATTCCATTTTACTGCAGAAAGAATGGCTATCACCAAGAAATCAAATAATAACAAATGCTGGTGAGGATGGTACGAAAAAGAAACCTCTCTACATTGTTGGTGGGAGAGGAAGCTAGTACAACCGCTATGGAAATCAGTGTGAAGATGCCTCAGAAAACTAAAACTAGAAATTCCATTGTAAGGGCACAGCTGTAAACTAGCAAACTTCTAGATATTTTATAGCAAAAATTAAAAATCAGTTAATGGCCTATGACTGTTTCTGCTGCTTGTCAGGTAGATAGCCTGTTAAATTCAGTCAGGCACCTTCAGGAATGAGTTAAAAACATCATATCCTAGTGATCCATGTACACTGTGTTTACAGAAGCACAATTCATAATAGCTAAACCGTGGGAGTAGCCTCTGCGCCCATGAAGAGATAAACAGATAAAGGAAATGCGATATTTATACACAACAGAGTACTACTCTCTCATAAAGAAAGATAAACTTGAGTCATTTGTAGAAAAATAGATACACAGTGAGACCATATTGTTAGGTAAAATAAATCAGACACACAAGCTTAACTATTGTATGGCTTCTTGTAATGAGAAACACACAATATAAATGAAGAGCAAAATCATGGATAATAGGAAATAGATCTTTCTCCAATGAGAAAGGGATTAAGAGATGGAGGGGGAAGGGAATTGAAAAAAGTAATTGGGATGTGTTACGTACATATACCACTCCCCACAAGGAATGTGATTATATAATATAAGCATATGTTAACAAAAAATAAATCTGAAAATAAAAATATCACACCTGGCAAGAACCTGCCCCTTCATTAAGCTGCACACGTGAGGCTGGGCCCAAGCTTCCTGAAGTGGAATCAGAAATATATTAAGTTGTCAAAGAGGTGAAAAGAAGTGTCATATGACTGAAAAGTTTCCAAAATACAAAAAAACCAAAAAACCAAAAAAACCAAAAAACCACAGTGGGCAGAGGAACAAAAATAGAGAAAAAAAGTAAAAAATCCCTAAATGTATGTAGGGATTGTGTTTGAGGTTGCTTGAACTAGAGCTAGAGAAAGAATGGAGACACTTGCATGGGACAATGCAATCCCATGACACTGCCAAATCCCAAGACACTGCCCCCTCAAATGTGATCATTGGTTTCTTAAAATGTTTTTCAGTGGAAGAGAGTCCAAAATAGTATCAATTTGACTGGGGCTCACTCTGACTACCAAAGATTTCCTTTCCTAAAATGCAAACTACTTCCCCATTCTGCTGCTTCCCTTTTCTCATTTCTCTCTTCCTTCAGCTGGAAACATATTCTTTGCCCTAAGTGGAGAGGAGGTGAACTGGCTCTGCAGCCTTCCCCAATGGGACCCCAATGAGCACTGGAATCATTTTGTTCAGGACGGTCACTGGCCCCCCTCGCTGTCTCTGGTTTGTGGCAGAAACATGAACGAGAGACATTTTCACAGTTAAAAGTCATGTTAGAATTAATTT